GCCGTAAAAATCTGCGAAAGCGCTTCGCGTGTCTGGTATCAACCTCCCATATCTCTACAACGTGTTATAGCGTTTTTGAATTTATTCTTACGTTAAATTTTTAATTTATCGCGCGAAAAGTCCAAGATAAACGTTCGCGTGCCTCGAGTATTATGAGGATATAGTGTGGGTTCTCGGCTCCATTTTCGTTCATTCGTAATGTTACCTGGGAGAGCCTGGATCCAAACCGCAGGATTTATGTAGTGGAGCTGTCGCATTTCGTTGACGTTATGGTCGAGAATTGAGGGGACTCGCTAGACGAGGTATAACATTTTTTTGGTTTTTTGTATGAAAAAATGATACTAATATAGATGTATCATACATCAAACTGCAGTTTTTTTCATATTCTAGAGCGCAGAGACCAGTTCAATCAATTAAAAAAATATGGCTGAGAAATATCGTACAAAAAGCACCATTGTATGTTTTCTTTTCAAGTTTTTTGAGTCATAACCATCATAGAATCGCTTGAAAATTCGCACATGGATAAAACATCACTTTTTACAGGGCGCTGAGTCATTAAATGTTTGTTAGTGGTACAATCTGTTTAAATAATAATGTGTTTATTAAAATCAAAATATACCGCAAATTAATGCAAAATACGTCGAATAATTTTAACAGGGATATCAGAGGAAAATTAATGATCTATTGGTTAGCAGAGTTTTTAACAAAAACTAACAATTATTGAAAAAAATGGGTATCAATTCGACAGAATAGTAATCTATTGTTAAGGAAATTAACTTTTACGCAATGAGGTACTATAATAAAACAGAATTAAAACTGGGGAACTATAATATTTTTACTGCACTCAGAATCCTGAATTCAATACACATGATTACTAAAAATTCATTGTAATATTATTGTTAATATATATAGCGAGGGAAGTACTGTCTAAACTCTTTATACCGATTTTTTTGATTTTCCCATTTCTCCATTTCCCAATTTTTCAATGTTTCAGTTTGGGATTTTTTCACTTTTCCGATTCTTCAATTTTCTTTCCATTTTTCAGTTTTTCAAGATTTCAGTTTTGAATTTTTTCACTTTTTCGATTTTTCAATTTTCCTTCCATTTTTCAGTATTTCAGTTCTGGGATTTTTTAATGTTTCGGTTCTTCAATTTTTCCATTTTTTGATGTTTCGATTTCTCGATTTTTCAATTTTTCGATAGGTATTTTAATTTTTCAATTTTTAAGTTCTAGATTTTCCGTTAATTTTTTTGGTTTCCTTGATGTTTTGATTTGTCGATTATTCGATTTTTCAAGTTCTCGGTTTCGATTTTTTGGTTTTCCAATTCTTCGATTTTTAAATTGTTTAATTTTTAGATTGTTCAATTTCTCGATTTCTCGATTTTTCAATTTTTCGGTTTACCGATTTTTTTTTCATTTAAAATGTTTCAATTTATCAATTATTAACTGTTCAATTTTTCAATTTAGATCTAATTTGATTTTTTAATTTTTTGATTTTTTGACTCCTCTACTGTTGATGCTTTGATTTCTCGATGTTTCTGTTTTTGAACATTCCTGTTTCGATTTTTCGACTTTTTGGCTTTACGAGTGTTCAATTTTTTGATTTTTGAATTTTAGATTTTTGTTTTTTTGATTTTTTTGGTGTTTCGATTTCCCAATTCTTCAATTTTTCGATATTTTAATTTTTCAATTTTTCGAATTTTTAAATTTTTGATTTTTCTTTTCTTTTATTTCTCAATTTTTGGATTTTTTGAATTTTACATTTTTCAATTTTACTATTTTTTGATGCTTGGATTTCTCAATTTTTCAAGTTTTCAATACTCGTTTTTTCAGGATTTGAATATTGAGAACTTTTCAATTTCTGGATTTTCAATTTTCAGATATTTTGATTTTTTGATTTTTTAATGTTTTAGGTTTTTAGATTTCTCACTATCTCGACTTTTCGATTTTTCAGTTCCATGATTTTTCAATTTGTCGAATTTTTAAATTTTAGATTTTTTGTTTTCTTTGATGTTTTGAGTTCTCGATCATTCGATGTTCTGAGTTTTCAGGCTTAGATTGTTTTTGTTGTTCAATTCTTGGATTTTTAAAATTTTTGTTTTTTAAATTTCCCTACTTATCAACTTACTGCGATTTCAATGTTTTGATTTTTTGATTGTTCGATTTCTCGATTTTTTGAATTTTTAGTTTTTGATACGATTTTTTTTCAAAAATTTTCAGTTTGTCAATTTATTAACTATACGATACTTCAGTTTTGCTCGATTTCGATTTGTCAATTTTTCGATATATTACTGTTGGGATTTTTCAATTTATCGATTCTTCGATTTCTCGATTCTTCATATTTTCGGTTTCTGGAATTTCTTCATTTTTCGATTTCTCAATTTTCCGATGTTTCAGTTTTACGATTTTTATTTTTTTTTTATTTTTCAGTTTTCAATTTTTGACGTTTCTAAATTTTTCGTTTTCTCAATTTTCCGGTTAACTGATTTTTTTATTTTCCCGTTTCTCTATTTCTCGATTTTTCAATTCTTCCTTCAATTGTGATTTTTCAATTTTTCGATTTCTGAATTTTTCAATGTTTCAGTTTTGGATTTTTTCACTTTTCCGATTCTTCAATTTTCTTTCCATTTTTCAGTTTTTCAAGATTTCAGTTTTGAATTTTTTCACTTTTTCGATTTTTCAAATTTCCTTCAGTTTTCAGTATTTCAGTTCAGGGATTTTGTAATGTTTCGGTTTCTACAATTTTTCCATTTTTTGATGTTTCGATTTCTCGGTTTTTCGATTTTTCGATAGGTATTTTAATTTTTCAATTTCTAAGTTCTAGATTTTCCGTTAATTTTTTTGGTTTCCTTTATGTTTTGATTTGTCGATTATTCGATTTTTCAAGTTCTCGGTTTACATTTTTTGGTTTTCCAATTCTTCGATTTTTAAATTGTTCTTTAATTTTTCGGTTTACCGATTATTTTTCATTTAAAATGTTTCAATTTTTCAATTATTAACTGTTCGATTTTTCGATTTTGATCTAATTTGATTTCTTAATTTTTTTATTTTTTGACTCCACTACTGTTGATGTTTTGATTTCTCGATGTTTCAGTTTTTGAACATTCCTGTTTCGATTTTTCGGCTTTTTGGCTTTTCGAGTGTTCAATTTTTTGATCTTTGAATTTTAGATTTTTGTTTTTTTGATTTTTTTGGTGTTTCGATTTCCCAATTCTTCAATTTTTCGATATTTTAATTTTTCAATTTTTCGAATTTTTAAATTTTTTATTTTTCTTTTCTTTTATTTCTCAATTTTTGAATTTTTTAAATTTTACATTTTTCAATTTTACTATTTTTTGATTGCTTGGATTTCTCAATTTTTCAAGTTTTCAATACTCAATTTTTTAGGATTTGAATATTGAGAACTTTTCAATTTCTGGATTATCAATTTTCAGATATTTTGATTTTTTGATTTTTTAATGTTTTAGGTTTTTAGATTTCTCACTATCTCGACTTTTCGATTTTTCAGTCCCATGATTTTTCAATTTGTCGAATTTTTAAATTTTAGATTTTTTGTTTTCTTTGATGTTTTGAGTTCTCGATCATTCGATTTTCTGAGGCTTAGATAGTTTTTGTTGTTCAATTCTTGGATTTTTAAAATTTTTGTTTTTTAAATTTTCCTACTTATCAACTTACTGGGATTTCAATGTTTTGATTTTTTGATTGTTCAATTTCTCGATTTTTTGAATTTTTAGTTTTTGATACGATTTTCTTTTTCAAAAATTTTCAGTTTGTCAATTTATTAACTATACGATACTTCAGTTTTGCTCGATTTCGATTTCTCAATTTTTCCATATATTACTGTTGGGATTTTTCAATTTGTCGATTCTTCGATTTCTCGATTCTTCATATTTTCGGTTTCTCGAATTTCTTCATTTTTCGATTTCTCAATTTTCCGATGTTTCAGTTTTACAATTTTTATTTTTTTTTTCAGTTTTCAATTTTTGACGTTTCTAAATTTTTAGTTTTCTCAATTTTTCCATTAACTGATTTTTTATTTTCCCATTTCTCTATTTCTCGATTTTTCAATTCTTCCTTCGATTGTGATTTTTCAGTTTTTCGATTTCTGAATTTTTCAATGTTTCAGTTTAGGATTTTTTCACTTTTCCGATTCTTCAATTTTCTTTCCATTTTTCAGTTTTTCAAGATTTCAATTTTGAATTTTTTCACTTTTTCGATTTTTCAAATTTCCTTCCATTTTTCAGTACTTCAGTTCTGGAATTTTGTAATGTTTCGGTTCTTCAATTTTTTCATTTTTTGATGTTTCGATTTTTGAGTTCTAGATTTTCCGTAAATTTTTTTGGTTTCCTTGATGTTTTAATTTGTCGATTTTTAGATTGTTCAATTTCTCGGTTTATATTTTTCAATTTTTCCGTTTACCGATTTTTTTTTTCATTTAAAATGTTTCAATTTTTCAATTATTAAATGTTCGATTGTTCAATTTTGATCTAATTTGATTTCTTAATTTTTTGACTCCTCTACTGTTGATGTTTTGATTTCTCGATGTTTCAGTTTTTGAACATTCCTATATTTCGATTTTTAGACTTTTTGGCTTTTCGAGTGTTCAATTTTTTGATTTTTGAATTTTAGATTTTTGTTTTTCTGATTTTTTGGTGGTTCGATTTCCCAATTCTTCAATTTTTCGATAAACTAAGCAGCTATTTTTTCACCAAGTATATATTATTTTTACTGAGAATTTATTTTTTAACTGAGCATTTATTATATAACTTAGCATTTATCATTTTTACCGAGCAAAAATACAGAGCGTTTAAAAACAGAACTGCGCATTTAATTTGTTCCCTTATCTAAATAACAAGAAAACGGTATTAATAATATATTTAGGCGAATAAAATAATAGAGGGGCTTGATAAGCCTTGTTTGCTCTACAGTGTCTAAATTGTGTTTGAATAATATAATAATTATCTCGAACATTAAAATTAAAATTTTTTCTTTTTTGCAGGTTTATGTTAGTGCTCGTGTGTCTGATATTCAGCGTCCTGTCTACCATAGACGCCTACCAGAACTTCGCCAACGAGACCCTGTTCTGGATGGTGAGTAATCAGACTAGTTTACATTCACCAGCATGTATGCTTTGTTGTTGTATAATTTCGATTTGTATGCTCCCTTAGGTTGCACATTTGATAACCCGCTCCGCTCTATCGCTATTTACACAAGGAGCGACTCTGCAAACACGTAACAACGCACTAAGAACCTTAATTAACAAAAAGTCGGTGCTCCTGTTGCAGGAAATATGCCTGGTGGTGTTCTTCGGCGTCGAGTACCTGGTGCGCCTGTGGTCCGCCGGCTGCCGGTCCAAGTACATGGGCTTCTGGGGGCGACTGCGCTTCATCCGCAAGCCCATCTGCATCATCGGTGAGTAGCCGTATCGCATCCGCCCGACTGCGCCACTTTCACGTCCTGTTCCAGATTTAATCGTAGTGGTAGCTTCGATAGTAGTTCTTACGCTAGGCTCCAACGGGCAGGTGTTCGCCACGTCCGCCATCCGAGGAATCCGCTTCCTGCAGATCCTGCGGATGCTCCACGTGGACAGACAAGGCGGCACGTGGAGGTTATTGGGCTCGGTTGTGTTCATACATCGACAAGTGAGTCCGGTGGCTTGCGCGACAACCCACCAACCTGATCTTTATTTAATCCCGACAGGAACTAATAACGACTCTTTACATCGGATTCTTGGGCCTAATCTTCAGCAGTTACTTCGTCTACTTGGCCGAGAAGGACGCGGTAGGGGCCGACGGTAAGAACACGGGGGATTTCTCGAGCTACGCCGACGCTCTCTGGTGGGGCGTCATCACCGTGACGACCATCGGATATGGAGACACCGTTCCCAGGACGTGGATGGGGAAGATCGTAGCGTCGTGCTTCAGCGTCTTTGCCATATCATTCTTCGCTCTTCCAGCCGTGAGTGGCGTTTAAAATTAACGACTAAACAATGAAACGGTTTAACTTTCGCTCTTGGGGATGAATCGGTGACATTATCTGCTTTTTTGCATGTTAAACGGGCTATCTGAAATAATCGAGCATCAATCTTCATTATTATTGACACGTGTTCGGACGGGGTTTAGGGATATTAATGGATGGAATGGCCGCAAATCTGACCCGAGGCTCCGATTTCACGGTTCGGGGAGAACGACGATTTAACGATCACGGGATATATAACTCCCTGGATGCAAATCAGGACACTTTGTTGACGTAGTTTATTGTATTATTTATGAATGTCAGTTGACAGTGTTCGAAGTTCAAAGGTATTATCCGTTCACGATCTTTATATAATAGGGTTGGCCATGAAAATCTAGTGAGTTTGTTGGTATTCGATGCAGAAGAATAAAAATTCCCTGAATTTTTTTCGTTAGGTTATGTTTTATTAAATGAAAGGTTAAAAAATATGCCAGAAATATAAACATTGTGGCCGATACTTACGCTATTTAAAACAGTTATTCGGCTTTTTGTAAGTGTTTATTTCATATGTAAGGAACAAACGCTAAAATTTCACTTAAACGTTGTTTTTATATGAATGGGGGTTCAGCATACGTCTATTGTCGCCTGCCACATTTAGCATCTCGTCTTTAATTCTCGATCATCAGTTCGTTCTGCTCGCCCACTCTTCTTAGAAATAGAAATTTCGACCTTTGTGAACAGCCTATTTCCATATCTTCCAACTTCTTTTTTCATTTTTCTAAGGTTACTAAAAGGGTTGGTAAAAGACAACAACCTTGCTCAGTGCTTTGATGGGTTTAGCTCTTCTGAAACATTTTTCCGGCCTTAAATTGAATGATTTATCTATATAGCTATTACTAAGTTTAAAAGTATTTTAAGTTTCTTGAGAATTCAAAATTTAATTAATGTTTGTATTTTTTACAATTTTGAATTTCTTAGATTCTTGGTCTGAGGTCTCTTGAGGTTTAAATTTTTTTTCCTTGGATCTCTTGGGTTTCTGAAATTTCTTGAATTTCTTGGATTAATAAAGTTTCTTGGAGTCCAAATTTTTGATTTTTCAGAATTTTTATATGTTTTGAAAAATTAGAATTTATTAGATTTTTTTGTGTGCTCAAGGTTCTTGAGGTTTTAAAATTTTGTTCCAAATTTTTATTTTCTTAGAATGTTTATAATCTTCTTGGATTCCTTGGATTTCTTGGGCTCCTTGGTTATTTTATTTTAAGTTTCTTGGGATTTCTTGTGCCACTGGATTTCTGGGTTTTCTTATACTTCCTGAGCTCTTAGATTTCCGAGATTTCTTAAATTTCTTGGATTATCTGAGTATGTGAGGCTAAGTTTCTTGGTTTTGAGTTTTTTGAGGCTTTAAAATTTTGTTCCAAAATTGTGATTTTTAGAGTATTGATAATTTTCAGAAATTTGAATTTCTTGAATTTGTTGAATTCCTCGATTTGCTTGGGTTCTTGGAGTTCTTGGGCTTCTCGGTTTTTGAATTTTCGGGGTTTCTTCAGTTGCGTTGTCTTTTTGGATTTCCTGGCTTTTTTAGACTTCTTGGGTTCTTGGGCTTCTGAGAATTTTTCGATTTCTTGGGTTATCCGAGTTTCTAACGCTTCTTGAATTTCTCGGGTTTTTTAAGTTACTTGGGAGTTCAAAATTTTTGATTTTCCAGAATGTTTATATGTTCAAAGAAGTTTGAATTTCTTGGATTTCTTGGTTTGCTAAGTTTCTTGGTCTTGAGTTTCTTGAGATACTAAAATTTGGTTCCAAATTCTTTTTTTTTTTTTTAATTTATGGTTTTCAGAATCATGGATTCCTTGAGTTTTTTCAATTCCTTGGATTTTTTGGGTTTCGTTGTTCCACTGGACTTCTTAATTTTCTCGAACTCCTTGGGCTGTTGGGTTTCTGAGATTTCTTGAATTTTTTGACTTTCTTAAATGTCTTGAGTTTCTTGAGAGTTCAAAATTTTTGATTTTTCAGAATGTGTATAATTTCAAGAATTTTGAATTTCTTGGATTTCTTAAGTTTCTTGACTTTGGGTTTCTTGAGGTTTTAGAATATTCGTAATCTTCGGAATTTTGGACTTTTTAAATTTCCTTGGGTTTTTCGAATATCTGGGGTTTCTTGAGTTTTTTTTTATTTTGTAATTTCTTGGTTTCTTGGACTTCTGAGATTTCTTGGATTTCTAGGATTATCCGGGTTTCTGAGGTTTCTTGAATTTCTCAAGTTTCTTATGTTTCTTGGGAGTGCAAAATTTTTTATTTTTCAGAATGTTTATATATTTAAGAATTTTGAATTTCTTAGATTTTTTGGTGTGCTTAAGATTCTTGAGGTTTTAAAATTTTGTTCCAAATTTTTGATTTTTAGAATATTCATAATTTACAGATTTCGGTTTTCTGAATTTCTTGTATTCCTAGAATTTCTGAAGTTCACGGAGTTCTTGGGCTTCTGAGATTTTTTAGATTTGCTGGGTTATCTGAGTTTCTGAGACTTCTTGAATTTCTCGAATTTCTTAAGTTTCTTAGGAGTTAAAAATTTTTGATTTTCCAGAATTTTTATGTTTTAAGAAGTTTGAATTTCTTTGATTTCTTGAGTATTTAAATTTCCGGAGTTTGTTGGGTTTCCTTGTCTCTGTAAATTTTTTGGGTTTCTTGAAATTCTTAGCTGGATTTCTAGGATTATCTGAGTTTCTGAGGTTTCTTGAGTTTTTTAAGTTTCTTGAGAGTTCAAAATATAATTAATGTTTATATTTTTTACAATTTTGAATTTCTTAAGATTCTTGGTCTGAGGTTTCTTGAGGTTTAAATTTTTTATCCTTGGATCTCTTGAATTTCTTGGATTTTTTGAGTTTTGTTGTTCCACTGGCTTTTTAATTTTCTCGAACTTCTTGGGCTCTTGGATTTCTGAAATTTCTTGAATTTCTTGGATTATTAAAGTTTCTTGGAATGCAAAATTTTTGATTTTTCAGAATTTTTATATGTTTAAGAATTTTGAATTTATTAGATTTTTTGGTATGCTTAAGATTCTTGAGGTTTTAAAATTTTGTTCCAAATTTTTACTTTCTTAGAAAGTTTATAATCTTCTTGGATTCCTTGGATTTCTTGGGTTCCTTGGACCTCTTGGGCTCATTGATTTTTTTATTTTAAGTTTCTTTGGATATCTTGTGCCACTGGATTTCCGGGTTTTCTTATGCTTCTTGGGCTCTTAGATTTCCGAGATTTCTTAAATTTCTTGGATTATCTGAGTATGTGAGGCTAAGTTTCTTAGTTTTGAGTTTCTTGAGGCTTTAAAATGTTGTTCCAAAATTATGATTTTTAGAGTATTGATAATTTTCAGAAATTTGGATTTCTTGAATTTGTTGGATTCTTCGATTTTCTTGGGTTCTTGGAGTTCTTGGGCTTCTCGGGTTTTTGAATTCTCGGGGTTTCTTCAGCTACGTTGTCTTTTTGGATTTCCTGCCTTTCTTAGACTTCTTGGGTTCTAGGGATTCTGAAAATTTTTCGATTTCTTGGGTTATCCGAGTTTGTAGCGCTTCTTGAATTTCTCGGGTTTTTTAAGTTACTTGGGAGTTCAAAATTTTTGATTTTTCAGAATGTTTATATGTTCCAAGAAGTTTGAATTTCTTGGATTTCTTAATTTGCTTAAGTTTCTTGGTCTTGAGTTTCTTGAGATACTAAAATTTGGTTCCAAATTCTTTTTTTTTTTAATTTATAATTTTCAGAATCATGGATTGCTTGAGTTTTGTAAATTCCTTGGATTTTTTGGGTTTCGTTGTTCCACTGGACTTTTCTGGAACCCCTTGGGTTGTTGGATTTCTGAGATTTCTTGAATTTTTTGACTTTCTTAAATGTCTTGAGTTTCTTGAGAGTTCAAAATTTTTGATTTTTCAGAATGTGTATAATTTCAAGAATTTTGAATTTGTTGGATTTCTTAAGATTCTTGGCCTTGGGTTTCTTGAGGTTTTTGAATATTCGTAATCTTCGGAATTTTGGACTTTTTAAATTTCCTTGGGCTTTTCGAATTTCTGGGGTTTCTTGAGTTTTTTTTATTTACGAGATTTCTTGGTTTCTTGGGCTTCTGAGATTTCTTGGATTTCTGAGATTATCCGGGTTTCTGAGGTTTCTTGAATTTCTCAAGTTTCTTATGTTTCTTGGGAGTGCAAAATTGTTTATTTTTCAGAATGTTTATATATTTAAGAATTTTGAATTTCTTAGATTTTTTGGTGTGTTTCAGATTCTTGAGGTTTTAAAATTTTGTTCCAGATTTTTGATTTTTAGAATATTGATAATAATTTACAGATTTCGATCTTCTGAATTTCTTGTATTCCTAGAATTTCTGAAGTTCACGGAGTTCTTGGGCTTCTTGAATTTTTGAATTTTCGGAGTTTCTTGAGTTTCGTTGTCTTTTTGGCTTTCCTTGGCTTCTTGGTCTTCTGAGATTTTTTAGATTCCCTGGGTTATCTGAGTTTCTGAGGCTTCTTGAATTTCTCGAATTTCTTAAGTTTCTTAGGAGTTAAAAATTTTTGATTTTACAAAATTTTTATGTTTTAAGAAGTTTGAGTTTCTTGAATTTCTTGAGTATTTAAATTTCCGGAGTTTGTTGGGTTTCCCTGTCTCTGTAAATTTTTTGGGTTTCTTGAAATTCTTAGCTGGATTTCTAGGATTATTTGAGTTTCTGAGGTTTCTTGAGTTTTTTAAGTTTCTTGAGAGTTCAAAATTTAATTAATGTTTATATTTTTTACAATTTTGAATTTCTTAAGATTCTTGGTCTGAGGTTTCTTGAGGTTTAAATTTTGTATCCTTGGGTTTCTTCAGTTTTTTGAATTTCTTGGATTTTTTGGGTTTTGTTGTTCCACAGGATTTTTAAATTTTCTCGAACTTCTTGGGCTCTTGGTTTCTGAAATTTCTTGAATTTCTTGGATTATTAAAGTTTCTTGGGAGTGCACAATTTTTTATTTTTCAGAATGTTTATATATTTAAGAATTTTGTATTTCTTAGATTTTTTGGTGTGCTTAAGGTTCTTGAGGTTTTAAAATTTTGTTCCAAATTTTTGATTTTTAGAATATTGATGATAATTTACAGATTTCGATTTTCTGAATTTCTTGTATTCCTAGAATTTCTGAAGTTCACGGAGTTCTCGGGCTTCTTGAGTTTTTGAATTTTCGGAGTTTCTTGAGTTTCGTTGTCTTTTTGGCTTTCCTTGGTTTCTTGGACTTCTTGAATTCTTGGTCTTATGAGACTTTTTGGATTTCCTGGGTTATACGAGTTTCTGAGGCTTCTTGAATTTATCGAGTTTCTTAGGAGTTAAAAATTTTTGATTTTCCAAAATTTTTATGTTTTAAGAAGTTTGAATTTCTTGGATTTCTTGAGTATTTAAATTTCCGGAGTTTGTTGGGTTTCCTTGTCTCTGTAAATTTTTTGGGTTTCTTGAAATTCTTAGCTGGATTTCTAGGATTATCTGAGTTTCTGAGGTTTCTTGAGTTTTTTGAGTTTCTTGAGAGTTCAAAATTTAATTAATGTTTATATTTTTCACAATTTTGAATTTCTTAAGATTCTTGGTCTGAGGTTTCTTGAGGTTTAAATTTTTTATCCTTGGATCTCTTGGGTTTCTTCAGTTTTTTGAATTTCTTCGATTTTTTGGGTTTTGTTGTTCCACTGGGTTTTTTAATTTTCTCGAACTTCTTGGGCTCTTGGGTTTCTGAAATTTCTTGAATTTCTTGGATTTATTAAAGTTTCTTGAAGTGCAAAATTTTTGATTTTTCAGAATTTTTATGTTTAAGAATTTTGAATTTATTAGATTTTTTCGTGTGCTTAAGGTTCTTGAGTTTTTAAAATTTTGTTTCAAATTTTTATTTTCTTAGAATGTTTATAATCTTCTTGGATTCCTTGAATTTCTTGGTTCCTTGGGCCTCTTGGGTTCCTTGGTTTTTTATTTTAAGTTTCTTGGGATTTCTTGTGCCACTGGATTTCTGGGTTTTCTTATACTTTTTCAGCTCTTAGATTTCCGAGATTTCTTAAATTTCTTGGATTATCTGAGTATGTGAGGCTAAGTTTCTTGGTTTTGAGTTTCTTGATGCTTTAAAATTTTGTTCCAAAATTGTGTTTTTTAGAGTACTGATAATTTTCAGAAATTTGGATTTCTTGAATTTGTTGAATTCCTCGATTTGCTTGGGGTTCTTGGAGTTCTTGGGCTTCTCGGTTTTTGAATTTTCGGGGTTTCTTCAGTTGCGTTGTCTTTTTGGATTTCCTGGCTTTTTTAGACTTCTTGGGTTCTTGGGCTTCTGAGAATTTTTCGATTTCTTGGGTTATCCGAGTTTCTAACGCTTCTTGAATTTCTCGGGTTTTTAAATTACTCGGGAGTTCAAAATTTTTGATTTTCCAGAATGTTTGTATGTTCTAAGAAGTTTGAATTTCTTGGATTTCTTGGTTTTTTAATTTATAGTTTTCAGAATCATGGATTCCTTGAGTTTTTTCAATTCCTTGGATTTTTTGGGTTTCGTTGTTCCACTGGACTTCTTAATTTTCTCGAACTCCTTGGGCTGTTGGGTTTCTGAGATTTCTTGAATTTTTTTACTTTCTTAAATGTCTTGAGTTTCTTGAGAGTTCAAAAATTTTGATTTTTCAGAATGTGTATAATTTCAAGAATTTTGAATTTGTTGGATTTCTTAAGTTTCTTGGCCTTGGGTTTCTTGAGGTTTTAGAATATTCGTAATCTTCGGAATTTTGGACTTTTTAAATTTCCTTGGGTTTTTTGAATATCTGAGGTTTCTTGAGTTTCTTTTTATTTCCGGGATTTCTTGGGCTTCTGACATTTCTTGGATTTCTAGGATTATCCGGGTTCCTGAGGTTTCTTGAATTTCTCAAGTTTCTTATATTTCTTGGAAGTGCAAAATTTTTTATTTTTCAGAATGTTTATATATTTAAGAATTTTGAATTTCTTAGATTTTTTGGTGTGCTTAAGATTCTTGAGGTTTTAAACTTTTGTTCCAAATTTTTTATTTTTAGAATATTGATAATAATAGTTTACAGATTTCGATTTTCTGAATTTCTTATATTCCTAGAATTTCTGAAGTTCACGGAGTTCTTGGGCTTCTTGAGTTTTTGAATTTTCGGAGTTTCTTCAGTTTCGTTGTCTTTTTGGCTTTCCTTGGGTTCTTGGACTTCTTGGGTTCTGGGTCTTCTGAGCCTTTTTGGATTTCCTGGGTTATCTGCGTTTCTGAGGCTTCTTGAATTTCTCGAGTTCTTTAAGTTACTTGGGAGTTCAAAATTTTTGATTTTCAAGAATGTTTATATGTTCTAAGAAGTTCGAATTTCTTGGATTTCTTAATTTGCTTAAGTTTCTTGGTCTTGAGTTTCTTGAGATACTAAAATTTGGTCCCAAATTCTTTTTTTTTAATTTATAGTTTTCAGAATCATGGATTCCTTGAGTTTTTTCAATTCCTTGGATTTTTTGGGTTTCGTTGTTCCACTGGATTTCTTAATTTTCTCGAACTCCTTGGGCTGTTGGGTTTCTGAGATTTCTTGAATTTTTTGACTTTCTTAAATGTTTTGAGTTTCTTGAGAGTTAAAAATTTTTTATTTTTTCAGAATGTGTATTATTTCAACAATTGTGAATTTGTTGTATTTCTAAAGTTTCTTGGCCTTGGGTTTCTTGAGGTTTTAAAATATTCGGAATTTTGGACTTTTTAAATTTCCTTGGGTTTTTCGAATTTCTGCGGTTTCTTGAGTTTTTTTTTATTTCCGGGATTTCTTGGTTTCTTGGGCTTCTGAGATTTCTTGGATTTCTAAGATTATCCGGGTTTCTGAGGTTTCTTGAATTTCTCAAGTTTCTTATGTTTCTTGGGAGTGCAAAATTTTTTATTTTTCAGAATGTTTATCTATTTAAGAATTTTGAGTTTCTTAGATTTTTTGGTGTGCTTAAGATTCTTGAGGTTTTAAAATTTTGTTCCAAATTTTTGGTTTTTAGAATATTGATAATAATTTACAGATTTCGATTTTCTGAATTTCTTGTATTCCTAGAATTTTTGAAGTTCACGGAGTTCTTGGGCTTCTTGAGTTTTTGAATTTTCGGAGTTTCTTGAGTTTTGTTGTCTTTTTGGCTTTGCTTGGGTTCTTGGACTTTTTGGGTTCTTGGTCTTCTGAGATTTTTTAGATTTCCTGGGTTTTCTGAGTTTCTGAGGCTTCTTGAATTTCTCGAGTTTCTTAAGTTTCTTAGGAGTTAAAAATTTTTGATTTTCCAAAATTTTTATGTTTTAAGAAGTTTGAATTTCTTGGATTTCTTGCTTTGTTTAAGTCTCTTGGTCTTGAGTTTCTTGAGATATTAAAGTTTTGTTCCAAATTTTTTTTTTTTTTAAGAATATTTATAGTTTCCAGGATCTTGGATTCTTGGATCTCTTGATTTCTTGAGTTTTTTGAATTTCTTGGATTTTTTGGATTTCTTAATTTTCTCGAATTTCTTGGGTTCTCGGGTTTCAGAGATTTCTTGAATTTCTTAAGTTATCTGAGTATTTGAGGTTTGAGTTTCTTGGGAGTTCAAAATTTTCGATTTTTCAGAGAATGTGTATAATTCCAAGAACTTTGAATTTCTTGGATTTCTTAAGTTTCAGAATTTTGGATTCTCTAAAATTTTGAATTTGTCGGATTTGTCGAATTTCTTGGGTTCCTTGAGGTTTTAGATTTCTGAGTTTTCTTGGTTTCTTGGGCTTCTGAGATTTCTTGGATTATCCGAATTTCTGAGGTTTCTTCAATTTCCCGAGTTTCTGAAGTTTCTTGGGAGTGCAAAATTTTTGGCTACAACCACATGTTTTTGTTCACATAGAATTTTGCGACCATTTACTTCCCTGTGTTTATAATCCATTGGCTTAAGAATTTTGTATAATGTGATTGGCCCCCCTTTAAATTCCAACTGTTCCGTAGAATATGCCAAAAGAGTATCTACAGTGAAGTATTAGTTTTTTTCATCAAGTTGCCAAATTTGTCGTTGCAGGTCTTTCCGAAACATATAATTTTGTAAATAAATCCGTTCGTCTTCGCTTACCAGATAGTGATGTTCCCACCTATGAGAAAAAAATTTAAAAAAAGATCGGGCCTGTCTTTCGAAACTGCAAAAAATATCTTTTTATTGCAATTTTTTGTTGCAGTAAAACTATTTCAGGCATTTTATTTTTAAATAATGTCACAATGACAAATTATCTATGCTGACAAAATTAAAACATTTGTTTGCTTGATTAAAAAATTGCGTCTAATAATTCTGATCTAATAGATGAAGTAGAAAAGTGGCAATCCAGCTCAAAGCGAATGTCAATCAGACTACTGACAGACAAAAAACTAAATCATCAAATCGTGAGTGGATAATAAATCTGCACTATTTCCCGCGTCGGTCTGTGACGTCACGCCGAAAACGAGCTCGTTAATAAGTTATAGCCCGTGCTTAAAACTCCTGTATCAACGCGAACACACCCACTTCCCCGATTCATAAACAACAAACACCAGTTTTTACCTCTTCCTTCCTCATTCCTTATTCTCCCTTTAATTACCCTTCTTCGCAAAGCCCGTGTTTATTCGCATATCCAGCGCACCTGTATGCTCGAAACCGCCCCGCATTTAGCACAACAAAGCCGCCCCTTCTTCCGCCTCGGGCTCTCACCACATCCCCGTCTACTCGAGAGATCGAATTCCTGCGTGCCGTCAAATATGATTGTTATTGCTTAATAAAACCCTCACTGCCACACTTCGATACTTTTTGTTCCTGGCGTAGACACGCGACCATCGATTTTCCTCTCTTTGTAGGGGATCCTCGGCTCGGGCTTTGCCCTCAAAGTTCAACAGAAGCAACGCCAGAAACACTTCAACAGGCAAATTCCGGCAGCTGCCATGCTCATCCAGTGCTTGTGGCGGTGTTACGCCGCCGACAAGAGCTTCAACTCGAGAGCGACGTGGCAGGTCTATCTCAAGGACACGAACGGCACCAACACCGCCAACAACTCTTCCAGCGGCAGCGGCACCAACTGCAACATCCCCCTCTCCAAGGTGAGCATACTGCGTAGATAGACATAAGTTCGGGCGAGCGCGCATGAATGACTTTTAGCATACTTGTTTCGCTAGATGGCGCAGGTAAGTAAGCGCTATCATAGCCAACTCCGATGTTGGCCATGGGGCTATGTACATAAGCGAGGTTATCGTTGCGTGAATTAATTCTGGGCACACTTGGGGTCAAAGTTCGCTATTCGTGCGCATCCATCATAATAACCCATTAATAAAAATCCAATAACCCGAACGCACGTAATGTCGACATTTTGGTTTTATGACTGCGGAGCACGAGTCGCTACTGATGTCGAGTGTCATTGGACACAAAATGGCGGTCACGTATGTCCAAGTTTGTATTCCTCCGAGTTTCTTTTGCATGTTTTAAACAAAATTAGACGTAAGCTAGTTTATAGACATAGAATTTTAGAGGGTTGTACGCAGACGTGCCCTGCTTGTAAAGAGATAGGGTTTGTGCAGGACCGTACTATTGCAAAAAACGAAACAGTTTATATTCGCCTCGTTTGAACCCCACGACCACAAAGGTCCAGTCTTTGTTGTGCTTTGGTCGTTCCCAGATGAAAGATATATGAGTCGTGCAAAAATTCCGAAACTGCATAATTTATCGCGCCGTCAAAAGAATAATTTAAAATTTTCATGTTTGTCATAAAAACCGTTCCGTTACATCAATACTCGCACTAGCCGGGGTGAATAATTCATCCCCATAAATAATTCGTGCGCAAAAAAAATCGTGACAAAAAAGCGGTCTCTCTCTGGCGCACGCACCGTAGGTATCGCCAAAAGGAATTATTCAAATGAAATCTACAAGTCCGCATGTAAATATCCGAAATTGAATTTCGCCGATTTGACTACACCTGGCACACCTAAATCACCTTGTACATTTGGCGGCTGCGAGCAATTTCGGGACACGTGTCCGCCACCTAGTGTATCGTTTTCTTAGGCTAGTTCTAGATGCAGTGTTTGGTGTCTCGGTGTTAAGTCTCCATGGGTTGGGTCAGTCCCTGATGTTGCAGGTCGCTAAGAAGGCGTCGGTTTTGAAGCGTCGGAAATCGCGGAATCGCATGGAGGCGCCCGGAACGCCGCAGGGCGACACCCCCGTCCAATCGGTCGCCCCCACGGCCCCCTCCAGGTGCGAGTCCGATTCCGACGTGGTTTTCTACATGGAGGAGCCCAAAGCAGGTGAGTCCACGAAGACATGTGTTAACCGCACCAAGGTCCGGGCTTACCCGCCTCATATTTCTAAAAATGTCGGTCATGGTATTTGCTATATCACTCTTAAAATGAAATTTTTCATTCGTTGTTAGACCGAGAGGCGGAGCGTAAATTCAAAATCCATAGTTCCCCACAAAAATTTACATTTTTTGTGGGGAACGCATAACTTTTAAGTTTCTTGTTGTGAAAAAAAGACTACGTGTATTAAGAAAAAGAGGCAAAATATAAGCCCCGCCCACCCACCCTGTCTCAATTGTGATGCATTTTTCATTCGTTGTCAGACCGAGGGGCGGAGCGTAATCGCAAAATCCATATTTGTTTACAAAAATTTGCCATTTTGAAAATGTTTTAAGATTCCTGTTATGAAAAAAAGAAACCTTCACATTAAAAAAAGTCATTTGGGGCCCCCGAGAAGGTTTAACATTTTTAAAAAAGACAGTTGGAAGCCACGACAAGGTTTCACATTAAAAAAAAGTCATTTGGGACCCCCGACAAGGTTTAACATTTTTAAGAAAATCCAGTTGGAATCCCCGAGAAGGTTTAACATTTAAAAAAAAAACAGTTGGGAGCCCCGAGAAGGTTTAACATTTTTAAACAAGACAGTTGGGAACCCCGAGAAGGTTTAACATTTTCAAAAAAGACAGTTGGGACCCCAGAGAAGGTTTAACATTTAAAAAAAAATCAGTTGGAAGCCACGACAAGGTTTCACATTAAAAAAAGTCATTTGGGACCCCCGACAAGGTTTAACATTTTTAAGAAAATCCAGTTGGGATCCCCGAGAAGGTTTAACATTTTTAAAAAAGACAGTTGGGAGCCCCGAGAAGGTTTAACATTTTTAAGAAAATCCAGTTGGGAGCCCCGAGAGGGGTTAACATTTTTAAAAAAGACAGTTGGGACCCCAGAGAAGGTTTAACATTTTTAAAAAAGACAGTTGGGAGCCCCGAGAAGGTTTAGCATTTTCAAAAAAGGCATTTGGGACCCCAGAGAAGGTTTAACATTTTTAAAAAAAGACAGTTGGAAATCCCGACAAGGTTTCACATTAAAAAAAGTCATTTGGGGCCCCCGAGAAGGTTTAACATTTTTAGGAAAATCCAGTTGGGATCCCCGAGAAGGTTTAACATTTAAAAAAAAAACAGTTGGGAGCCCCGAGAAGGTTTAACATTTTTAAACAAGACAGTTGGGAACCCCGAGAAGGTTTAACATTTTCAAAAAAGACAGTTGGGACCCCAGAGAAGGTTTAACATTTAAAAAAAAATCGGTTGGAAGCCACGACAAGGTTTCACATTAAAAAAAGTCATTTGGGACCCCCGACAAGGTTTAACATTTTTAAGAAAATCCAGTTGGGATCCCCGAGAAGGTTTAACATTTTTAAAAAAGACAGTTGGGGGCCCCGAGAAGGTTTAACATTATTAAGAAAATCCAGTTGGGATCCCCGAGAAGGTTTAACATATTTAAGAAAATCCAGTTGGGAGCCCCGAGAAGGTTTAACATTTTTAAGAAAATCCAGTTGGAGGCCCCGAGAAGGTTTAACATTAAAAAAAGTCATTTGGGGCCCTCGAGAAGGTTTAACATTTTTAAGAAAATCCAGTTGGGATCCCCGAGAAGGTTTAACATTTTTAAACTAGATAGTTGGGAGCCCCTAGAAGGTTTAACATTTTTATGAAAAGCCAGTTGGGAGCCCCGAGAAGGTTTAACATTAAAAAAAGTCATTTTTTGTGGCCCTCGAGAAGGTTTAACATTTTTAAGAAAATCCAGTTGGGATCCCCGAGAAGGTTTAACATTTTTAAAAAAGATAGTTGGGGGCCCCGAGAAGGTTTAACATTATTAAGAAAATCCAGTTGGGATCCCCGAGAAGGCTTAACATTTTTAAAAAAGACAGTTGGGGGCCCCGAGAAGGTTTAACATTATTAAGAAAATCCAGTTGGGATCCCCGAGAAGGTTTAACATATTTAAGAAAATCCAGTTGGGAGCCCCGAGAAGGTTTAACATTTTTAAGAAAATCCAGTTGGAGGCCCCGAGAAGGTTTAACATTAAAAAAAGTCATTTGGGGCCCTCGAGAAGGTTTAACATTTTTAAGAAAATCCATTTGGGATCCCCGAGAAGGTTTAACATTTTTAAAAAAGACAGTTGGGAGCCCCGAGAAGGTTTAACATTTACAAAAAAGACATTTGGGACCCCAGAGAAGGTTTAACATTTTTAAAAAAAGACAGGTGGAAGTCCCGACAAGGTTTCACATTAAAAAAAGTCATTTGGGGCCCCCGAGAAGATTTAACATTTTTAAGAAAATTCAGTTGGGAACCCCGAGAAGGTTTAACATTTTCAAAAAAGACATTTGAGACCCCAGAGAAGGTTTAACATTTTTAAAAAAGACAGTTGGGAGCCCCGAGAAGGTTTAACATTTTCAAAAAAGACATTTGGGACCCCAGAGAAGGTTTAACATTTTTAAACAAAGACAGGTGGAAGTCCCGACAAGGTTTCACATTAAAAAAAGTCATTTGGGGCCCCCGAGAAGATTTAACATTTTTAAGAAAATTCAGTTGGGAACCCCGAGAAGGTTTAACATTTTCAAAAAAGATATTTGAGACCCCAGAGAAAGTTTAACATTTTTAAAGTGACAGTTGGAAGTCCCTACAAGGTTTCACATTAAATAAATAATAGTTTAAAAAACTAAAAAAACACGCTTTTATTGCTAATCGAACTAAAAACTAGAAAATAATTTTTAATGACAGAGTTTAATATTACAGTAGTAGAAGATCAAACAATCAATCATAATAAATCACCTCAAATTAAAATTATAATAAAATTTAAGTTATTAACAGAATAATTCAATTCAGAGTAAAAAGCGTGGGGTGCATTTTACTGCGGTTCATAACTATCCTCTCATAGATAGTTGCCAATAGAATGATTGTAATATTTAAAATATCAAGCACCCCACGCTTTTTACTCTGAATTGAATTATTCTGTTAATAACTTAAATTTTATTATAATTTTAATTTGAGGTGATTTATTATGATTGATTGTTTGATCTTCTACTACTGTAATATTAAACTCTGTCATTAAAAATTATTTTCTAGTTTTTAGTTCGATTAGCAATAAAAGCGTGTTTTTTTAGTTTTTTAAACTATTATTTATTTTTCATTTTTTAGTCTGCGACAAATTCATAAATTGGGGAATTAATTACTTATTTAGATTTTTCTAGAAAGAACCACTCAGTCTGTGACTCAGTGGTCTCCGTATGATCGATCAACGGGAATTAGTTCGAAATCAATCGCCCTCACGGACCAACGGGACACAATTCATCATTGTGGTTAGTTTTACCCCCAATGGTTAATTTTCCTCCATGTTTGTATTTCTGAATCAAAATTTGTTATCTTTATTTAAGTTGGTGAGAATTCATGATTAGATATGTTTTAATTATAATTAATTCCTTCTTTACCGACTGTAAAACCAAAGCTATGCAGAAATTGTCCTTGAAACAGAAATAATCGGTATAGATCGGTATAATCGACACGGAGAGGTAACCGCCATTTTTGCACACGTTTAGTTAATTAAAAGTCCGTTCTTGTTTTTTTCATTTAATATCCGTTATTTGTATTTTAATCAAGACTAATTACAACGAAGAGTAAACCAGATACTACAGGCATGCGCAGATCGCGCGCTAGCTTTATCTCTTTTACTCCACTACACAGGATCCATAAAAGAATTTATAAATCCTGGCGCTCCTAATAAGGATAATGGGAAACTGTTATCAAATTATTGCATTGTCATCGATCCTTGAGACGTGTGCAAAGTTTCAAGATGATCAGACTTTTAGAAACCGATGAAAATTAAGCTCAAAGATTCCGTTACATACAACCCAAGCTAATAAAAGCGTGATAAAAAAGTCATTTGGGGCCCCCGAGAAGGTTTAACATTTTTAAGAAAATCCAGTTGGGAGCCCCGAGAAGGTTTAACATTTTATAAAAGACAGTTGAGAGCCCCGAGAAGGTTTAAAATTTTTAAGAAAATCCAGTTGGGAGCCCCGAGAAGGTATAACATTTTTAAAAAAGACAGTTGGGAGCCCCGAGAAGGTTTAACATTTTCAAAAAAGACATTTGGGACCCCAGAGAAGGTTTAACATTTTTAAAAAAAGACAGGTGGAAGTCCCGACAAGGCTTCACATTAAAAAAAGTCATTTGGGGCCCCCGAGAAGATTTAACATTTTTAAGAAAATTCAGTTGGGAGCCCCGAGAAGGTTTAAAATTTTCAAAAAAGACAGTTGGGACCCCAGAGAAGGTTTAACATTTTCAAAAAAGACATTTGGGACCCCAGAGAAGGTTTAACAGTTTTAAAAAATGACAGTTGGAAGTCTCGACAAGGTTTCACATTAAAAAAAGTCGTTTGGGGCCCCCGAGAAGGTTTAACATTTTTAAGAAAATCCAGTTGGGAGCCCCGAGAAGGTTTAACATTTTATAAAAGACAGTTGAGAGCCCCGAAAAGGTTTAAAATTTTTAAGAAAATCCAGTTGGGAGCCCCGAGAAGGTTTAACATTTTCAAAAAAGACAGTTGGGACCCCAGAGAAGGTTTAATATTTTTAAGAAAATCCAGTTGGGAGCCCCGAGAAAGTTTAATATTTTGAAAAAAGACAGTTGGGACCCCAGAGAAGGTTTAACACTTTTAAAAAAGACAGTTGGGGCCTCCGAAAAGGTTTAAAATTTTTAAGAAAATCCAGTTGGGAGCCCCGAGAAGGTTTAACATTTTCAAAAAAGACATTTGGGACCCTGTAGAAGGTTTAACATTTTTAAGAAGATCCAGTTGGGAGTCCCGAGAAGGGTTAACATTTTCAAAAATGACAGTTGGGAGCCTCGAGAAGGTTTAACATTTTTAAAAAAGACAGTTGGAAGCCCCGAGAAGGTTTAAAATTTTTAAGAAAATCCAGTTGGGAGCCTCGAGAAGGTTTAACATTTTCAAAAAAGACAGTTGGGACCCCAGAGAAGGTTTAATATTTTTAAGAAAATCCAGTTGGGAGCCCCGAGAAGGTTTAACATTTTCAAAAAACACAGTTGGGACCCCAGAGAAGGTTTAACACTTTTAAAAAAGACAGTTGGAAGTTCCGACAAGGTTTCACATTAAAAAAGTCATTTGGGGCCTCCGAAAAGGTTTAAAATTTTTAAGAAAATCCAGTTGGGAGCCCCGAGAAGGTTTAACATTTTCAAAAAAGCCATTTGGGGCCCCCGAGAAGGTTTAACATTTTTAAAATAAAACAGATGGGAGCCCCGAGAAGGTTTAACATTTTTAAAAAAGACAGTTGGGAACCCCGAGAAGGTTTAACATTTTTAAAAAAGACAGTTGAGAGCCCCGAGAAGGTTTAAAATTTTTAAGAAAATCCAGTTGGGAGCCCCGAGAAGGTTTAACATTTTCAAAAAAGACATTTGGGACCCCAGAGAAGGTTTAATATTTTTAAGAAAATCCAGTTGGGAGCCCCGAGAAGGTTTAACATTTTCAGAAAAGACAGTTGGGACCCCAGAGAAGGTTTAACATTTTTAAAAAAGACAGTTGGAAGCCCCGACAAGGTTTCACATTAAAAAAGTGATTTGGGGCCTCCGAAAAGGTTTGAAATTTTTAAGAAAATCCAGTTAGGAGCCCCGAGAAGGTTTAACATTTTCAAAAAAGACATTTGGGACCCCGAGAAGGTTTCACATTAAAAAAAGTCATTTGGGGTCCTCGAGAAGGTTTAACATTTTCAAAAAATACATTTAGGACCCCCGAGTAGGTTTAACATTAAAAAAAAAACAATTGGAAGCCCCGACAAGATTTCACATTAAAAAATGTCATTTGGGTTCCCCGAGAAGGTTTCATATTCTTAAAAAACACATTTGGGACACCCGTGAAGGTTTAACATTTTTAAAAAAGACATTTGGGACCCCTGAGAAAGTTTAACATTTTCAAAAAAGACATTTGGGAGCCTCGAGAAGGTTTAACATTTTTAAAATAAAACAGATGGGAGCCCCGAGAAGGTTTAACATTTTTAAAAAAGGCAGTTGGGAGCCCCGAGAAGGTTTCACATTAAAAAAAGTCATTTGAGGTCCTCGAGAAGGTTTAACATTTTCAAAAAAGACATTTAGGACCCCCGAGAAGGTTTAACATTTAAAAAAAAAACAATTGGAAGCCCCGACAAGGTTTCACATTAAAAAATGTTATTTGGGTTCCCCGAGAAGGTTTCATATTCTTAAAAAACACATTTGGGACACCCGTGAAGGTTTAACATTTTCAAAAAAGACATTTGGGACCCCTGAGAAAGTTTAACATTTTCAAAAAAGACATTTGGGAGCCTCGAGAAGGTTTAACATTTTCAAAAAAGACATTTGGGAGCCTCGAGAAGGTTTAACATTTTTAAAAAAGACGGTTGGAAGCCCCGACACATTAAAAAGTCATTTGGGCCCCCCGAGAAGGTTTAACATTTTTAAAAAAGTACTTTGGGACCCCCGAGAAGGTTCCACATTTTTAAAAGGGCAGTTGGGACCCCGAGAAGGTTTCATATTAAACATGTTTTAAGTTTCATCTTGTGAAAAAAGTGTACACATATTAAAACAAAAAGACAAAATGAAGGCCCACCCCCCCACCCGATCTCAATTCTGATGATTTTTGTTTTCGCCGTGAACCAAGGGGGCGGAGCTTAACTGCAAAACACTTATTTCTTTACAACAAATTAAAAACATGTTTTTGAATATCGTATTGTTCAACGAATATAATGTGTTTTAAGAAAAAAAGACAAAATATTAACCCCGCCCGCCCACCCCATTTTAATTGTGATGACTTTTTTTACTGCTTAGAACCTTTAAACACGTTTAAAATGGTAAATCTTTGTAAGGAAATGTGGATTTTGCAAGAAGGCTCCACCCCTAGGTCTTCTAACGAATAAAAACTTCATTACTATTTAGATCAGGCTTTAATTTTTTCTTTATATATGTACATATAGAATTCTTTGAATAACGCGATGTTCAAAAACATGTTTTACATGGTAATTTCTTGTAGAAAAATAATAAGGATTTTGCAGTTAAGCTCCACTTTCTTGGCTAACGACGAATAAAAAAAATCATCACAATTGAGATAGGGTGGGTGGGCGGGGCTTATATTTTGCCTTTTTTCTTAATATAAGTAGTCGTCTTTTCAGAACAAGAAACTTGTTTAAAATGGTAATTAATTTCTTGTAGACACATATGGATCTTGCAATTAAGCCCCGCCTCTCGATCCGACAACGAATGAAAAATTCACAATTGACTTAATTTTTTCTTGATATACATAGTATTATTTGAACAAGACGATACGATACATTATTTAATTTCTCGTAAAGAAATAAGGATTTTGTAGTTAAGTTCCGCCTTCTTGGCTCACGACGAATAAAAAAATCATCACAATGGAGATAGGGTGGGTGGGCGGGGCTCATATTTTGCCCTTTTTTAAATATACATAGCCATTTTCTGACAACAAGAAACTTAAGGAGATGGTTAAAATGGTACATTTTTGCAAGGAAATATGGATTTTGTGTTTATGGGGCGGAGTCTAATTGCAACACTTATTAAAACAAAAAGATCAAAGTAGAAGCCCGCCCACCCGCCCTATCTCAATTGTAATGATTTTTTTTATTCGCCGGAAACCAAGAGGGCGGATTTTAACTGCAAAATACTTGTTTCGTTGCAAGAAATTTAAAACATGTTTGTGATTATCGTGTTCTTCAAAGAATACTATGTGTTTTAAGAAAAAAAAAGGCAAAATATTAACCCCGCCCACCCACCCCATCTCGATTGTGATGACTTTGTAGACGCTGTAGACATTATTCAGTTATTCCCTTTCATTATTTTATGTTAAAAATAATTATATAATATAATCAAAAATCTTAATATGGATGATTAAAGATAAAACTTTTCGCTAGGGAATTCGAATTTTTGAGGTTAGCAGAATCAATCATCTCCTTGAAGCTTCGGCAGCCATCTTGCCGCGACGTGCTTTCAACCACCAACTAGAGTCTCTGCCACCCGGGCGTTGTCCGCCCCATCCCGCTCCCCCATTCCAGCCCGCATTCGCCCCCGCAGGTGTAAATTATCGGCTTAAGGGATTATTAATCGTCGTCCGGCGACGCCTGCTTTGTCCGCGCGTATGAAATGCATCATCATTTTTCTTGTTTTGTGCCGGCACGAGTGGCGCTGGAAAAAGTCGCTTTTGTGCCTTTTTAAGGCCGTAATCCCTTTATTAGTCTGATACGAAAATCGATAGCGGCCGCGTTCTACGTGCTCCAAGAATTTACCATTGGAATCATTACGAACGATGGAGCAAGCTTAACCGAGATTCCGACGATTCTTTAATGCAAAGATGGGCTTTTGTTCACGGGAGGGTTTTTTCCCTTTGAACCGTCGTGACGTCATCGCGATGCTAAAAGGGTGCACGAGATAAATCGTCTCCCTCGTACGTATTATTGTACCTTTACGAAGAGGATTGTGTTGGTAAAATGTTTAGAAAAATAATGAGGTCGGGCGTCTCGTGAAAGATATGCATGTGAAGGGATTATTACTTTCAACGGTGGATCTGGATACCCTTTGATTTATTTATAAGAACGAGCTTATTCCTCCGTCTACGTTATATCCCGACACGAACTCCAGGAACTATAATCTTTATTCCGTTACCAATTTAGAGACAGTTCTGCATTGGAATCTCAACTCGGATTAATTTAACTAAACTTTCCGAAGACAAGTTTTACATTAGTACGGATACAGCGTCTACAACGAGTCGAAATTTTCCAAAGATCCGCAGTTTAACTCGTCCCTTTTGTGCACTTTGTTTTCAGGGACGCCGAACCGCGTGCGTCGCGGCGAGCGCGAGAGCGCCCGAGGGGCCGTCTTCACCAGCCAAACCAGCACCGTCACCGAAGCCGCCAGCGACGACATCGACGACCTGGACGGCGAACTCCCCCGGGTCACACAGTAAGCGAATCGTCCGATTACCTCCACCTCATACAAACGCATAACCCAATCTATGTGCTTGCAGACTAACGGAGGCACACAAGAACGCCATCAGGGCCATCCGCAAGATCAAGTACTTCGTGGCTAGGCGGAAGTTCCAGCAAGCCAGGAAGCCCTACGACGTGAGGGACGTGATCGAGCAGTACAGCCAGGGTCATCTGAACATGATGGTGCGGATCAAGGTGGGTGTTCAGCCCCGTAGCTACGGGGGGGGCAAGAGGGGGCTGAGCCCCCCCTAGCAGTTGTGGTTGCCCCCCCTGGAAGACTTATACATTATAAATTTCAAATTAGTAATAAAATTTCAATATAATGCCGATTGGCGAAGCATATTAACTGGCCCCATCCGCCCCACCTTTATTTTCTTACAGGGTATATTATTTGGCAATATCACCCTACCGTTGATGTTGACCGTATAAAAAAATGAACATGTCACATTTTATTCCATAGCCTACTATGTACTTGAGAAAAGTCAAAAATATTATATGGATTTTCTAAAAATTGAGCTTTTATTGAAATGGACAAAAAATCGACAAAAAATTCTGAGATGTAGATCTCGATGAGCTTAATCAAAAAACATAAGGTCTTGATGGTCCCAGACCAAGATTTTTCAAAAATTCGATTCCAAATTCGACATTTCAAAATTTCTCAAAAATTACATTTCTTTTGGCGGCTCTGGAAAAATTGTACGAATTTTCGAAAAAATAAAACCAAAAAAAAAACATTTGGAGATCGAAATCAATAAAAAGATCCCTTCTGCTAGTTTTCGAAAATGCGTGGGAAAAGTCAAAATTTTTTTATAGATTTTCAAAAATTGAGTTTTGTTGAAATTGGCTGAAAATCTACAAAAAATTCTGAGATGTAGATCTCGACGAGTTTAGTCAAAAAACATAAGGTCTTGCTGCTATTCGGTTTCCAAGTCGACTTTTTAAAATTTCTCAAAAATTATACTCCTATTTCTTTTGACGATTCTAGAAAAAATTTACAAATTTTCGATCAAATAAAACCAAAAACAACATCTGAAGATTGAAATAAATAAAAGAATGACTTTTGGTAATTTTTGGAAATGCTTAAGAAAAGTCAAAATTTATTTAGTTTTCAAAAATTGAGCTTTTGTTAGAGTTGACAAAAAATTCTGAAATATAGATCTCGATGAGCTTAATCGAAAAACATGTTCATGCTCCCGGAGCAAAATTTACGAAATATTGGGTTTCTACCTAAAATTTCTAAAAAATCTCAAAAGTGACTTAAAAAAAAGTTATTTCTTTATGCGATTGTGGAAAAATTCGACGAAATATCAAAAAAATAAAACCAAAAATAACATCTGTAGATCGAAATCAATAAAGAGATCCCTTTTGCTAATTTTCGAAGATGCTTGGGAAAAGTCAAAAAGTGTATATGGATTTTCAAAAATTGAGCTTTTGTTGAAATTAACAAAAAATCAACAAAAAATTCCGAGATGTAGATCTCGATGAGCTTAATCCAAAAACATAAGGTCTTGATGGTCCCAGACCAAGATTTTCGAAAAATTCGGTTTCAAAGTCGTCATTTCAAAATTTCTCAAAAATTACATTTCTTTTGGCGGCTTTGGAAAAATTGTACAAATTTTCGAGAAAATAAAACCAAAACAACATTTGGAGATCGAAATCGATAAAGAGATCCCTTTTGCTAATTTTCGAAAACGGTTGGGAAAAGTCAAAAACATTTTATGGATTTTCAAAAATTTAGCTTTTGTTGAAGTTGACTAAAAATCCACAAAAAAATCTGAAATGTTGATCTCGACGAGCTCAATCAAAAAACACAAGGTCTAGATGGTCCCAGATCAAGATTTTCGAAACATTCGGTTTCAAAGTTCAAAAATTACATTTCGTTTGGCGATTACTGAAAAATTTTACGACTTTTCAACCAAATAAAACCAAAAACAACATCTGGAGATCGAAATCAATAAAGGAATCCCTTTCGGTAATTTTTGAAAATGCCTGGGAAAAGTAAAAAATTTTATATGGGTTTTCAAAAATTGAACTTTCGTAAAAGTTGACAAAAAATTCTGAAATATAGATTTGGACGAACTTAAAAAAACATGACAGGTTCATGGTTCCGGATCAAAATTTTCGAAATACTCGGTTTCGAGCTCGAATTTTCAAAATTTCTCAAAAATTACCATATTTCTTTTGGCGATTATGGAAAAATTGTACGCATTTTCGAAAAAACAACCCAAAACAACATCTGGAGATCGAAATCAATAAAGGAATCCCTTTTGGTAATCTCGAACGTGCTTGAAAAAAGTCAAAAATTTGATACAGGTTCTCAAAAATTGCCATATTTCTTCCGTCGATTCTGGAAAAAATGTAAGAATTTTCAAAAAAATTGAATCCAAAACGATTTCTGGAAATCGAGATGAACAAAGGAATCTCTTTTGGTGATTTTTGAAAATGCTTGGGAAAAGCCAAAAATTTTATATGGGTTTTCAAAAATTGAACTTTCGTAAAAGTTGACAAAAAATTCTGAAATATAGATTTCGACGAGCTTAAAAAAACATGACAGGTTCAAGGTTCCGGATTAAAATTTTCGAAATACTCGGTTTCGAGCTGAAATTTTCAAAATTTCTCAAAAATTACCACATTTCTTTTGGCGATTATGGAAAAATTGTACGAATTTTCGAAAAAACAACCAAAAACAACACCTGGAGATCGAAATCAATAAAGGAATCCCTTTTGGTAATTTCGAACGTGCTTGAAAAAAATCAAAAATTTGATACAGGTTCTCAAAAATTGCCATTTTTCTTCCGTCGATTCTGCAAAAAATGTAAGAATTTTCAAAAAAATTGAATCCAAAACGATTTTTGGAAGAAATCGAGATGAATGGTAATTTTCGAAAATGCTTGGGAAAAGTCAAAAATTTTATATGGGTTTCCAAAAATGGAGCTTTTGTTAAAGTTGACAAAAAATTCTGAAATACACATCTCGACGAGTCTAAAAAAACATGAGGAGTTCATGGTTCCGTACCAAAATTTTCGAAATATTTGGTTTCGAAGTCGGATTTTTAAAATATGTACTAAACATGCAAAAAAATAAACTCAAACAAATTGGATGTTACCTATATGGCCACTACACAAATTTTTGGATGCAGTACAGCTGTTTGTGAATCTACATTCTCTGTTTTAACTAGCATTTTAACCAAGTATCGTACTAATTTTTTGGACTTCCACAGGTTTTTACGAAAATTTAGCGTAAAAAATCGACGTTTCCAATTATTTTAATGTTTTTTCAAATATAAAAACTCAGAAAAAATAAAATAGTTATCTAAGTTTTCTAGCTACGGGGCTGTGGGTGTTATCGCTGGTTGGCTGTCGGGACAATAATGGATAATGGGATCAGGAAAGTGACGGATTTCGTGGGCTGCATGCGATGTTGCATGTCGGGGTTGAAACGAAAAGGGGTTGTTTGTCTTCGGGGGGGAATAACTAGTTGACATCTACGTTAAATTTAAATTATGCAAAGTAATGGAGTAATTGAGCGGGGTTTACAAAGGAAATGGGAAGGCAGGTGCATAATTTATTCAGTTCGGTTAAACTCTGTCAAAGTACTGGGAGATGTAGTGACAGATTTCTCGCACATTATAGCTAGATAAGCGTCTCTATGACCATTGCGTGTTTACAAAGCTGTTTGTGAATTCCCATTGTAAATTAACTCTGTTCCAGGAGTTGCAGAGGCGGCTGGACCAGACGCTCGGGAAGCCGGGGAGTTATCTGGCAGGGATCGACAGGGTGGGCAACGTAAAGCCGATGACCGTCGGAGCCAGATTGTACAGGGTAGAGCAACAGGTAACCCGGTGGTTTGACAAGTCGAGTGAATAATGACGTTGTGTGGATTTCCAGTTGGGAACAATGGACAAGAAGTTGGACGCCTTAACCCACATCCTCAATACGTTGGCACAAAAAAACCAAGCATCCTTAAGATCGATAGAGGACGACGTCTGAGTGTTCCTGCGTTACGTACAAAATATCGGGTGCAGAAGCAATAATTTTTCGAGTTTTGCAGTCGCTACATATCCCAACAGGAATTTTCTCGGTTAGGTTAGCTTGGTAAGACGGAATTGGCAATGTACATAGTAACTATATAAGATTTAGTCAATATTACAACTAATCATGGTATTATGGGGCACACTGTAAAAGGACTAAGAATAATAATTAATGTAACATATATTTTTAGTCACTTTTAGATTATTTCCATATCTATATCTAGATCGTGCCTATTTAGATTTATACAAGTATTGTTAGGGCGGGCGCGCGCGGTTGGAGCGCGCATCGAGGTTAGACTCGCCAGCCATTGGCTCGTCGTCACGTGACACCTTCGCCCGCGCGCGCTCCTTAGCTTAGGGGTTTGTGAGGCCAGACCCTTTTCCCGTATAGGTGGAAACTGTCGACAATCTACTTTTCTGACTCGTACCGAGTTGTGTAAATCGAACGAACTCTAGCCTAATACAATATCAAATAAAAAGAACAAGACGTAGTTCACAATCCAGAAGCTTCGACAGAATTGGACTTTCTCGTGAGTTATACAAGGGTCCAATACAAGGAGAATTTTCTCGTAGAACTCTCTAGAGTAAGCCTTAATAAAACATTCAAGATTTTTTTAAAAACGCCTCGGCCACGCGGGAATTGGAAGCGTGCCACCGGAAACAACGAATGTACTTCCCGTCGAGGCCGATCGGTCTTTTGTAAATAGGAAATCTCTCAGAACTTATTTAAAGAGTGCCTCTGCATCTGTGATTTGCACATCTTACTATTCACTGTATTATAACGACCGAATTAAGTCAACGTTTGGACCAAAGATGAGCAAAATTTGGCGTTTCGGTGGGCGGACGATCTTGACCTGTTCGGACCGGCCGGAGTTGAGACGAGGAGTTTCACGTTTGCCAACTGAAACTTTTCCAATTCGTACAACACAAACGCATTCATAGAGAACCGCCGAAACACGGCCAAGCCGGCGCTAAACTCCCGACGTGACTAGTCACTCATAACCCGTATATTTTTACTCCAATGACACGGTGACACGCGTCAATCGAAAATGATTTTGGCGCCAAGTGCGCTTCACGCTGACACACTGAGGGAGTTTAGGGCCGCTGGACCTCCGTTTAACCAATAGTCCTAAGGATATTCTAAATTTATGAAACGTTAATATCTCGAAATCTTCCTGTCTGGAGGTCGGGTGATCCCATTTGCCGGCCGGGATAATGGATGTCGTTAGCCCGTCCCTCGAACGGAATCGCTCGTCCTTGATCTACAAAAGTGCCCTAAGAGTCTTTGCATTTCAATCATACCGTAGTTGCCTCTATTATTCCCTTGATATTTTAGTAGTTTATCCGGAAGAAACTGTGTATAAAGTAAATGGAACCGTCTCTCCCGTTTTGTTAAGTTTTGGTAAGATATGCTTTCGAAGATAAACTAATAGCAGCTGTATGGTGATGGCGACGTTGTTTGTTGAACCTCGCCGTTTCCTGTGTAATAATAATTTTGTGATAGATTTTAAGCACGTTTTTGACTTAAATCACTCTGTTGTATTTTATTGTAAATATTTTTATTGATAGTTACTAGTATGCTCACAAAGTTCGTGATCAATAAATTTTAAAGATAAAGCGTCTATTGAATGTACGTTTTAACAAGATTCCATAATGATTGTCATTGTAATTTAGACCTTCTTGACGCAATATTATTATTATAGCAATTTAAAGCTTTTACTTGATCTGTAATTAAGAGATGATATTGTAAGGAATAAATCATTTCCACGTCCGCTGCGTTTCCATGAAAACCACCTTATTAACAACAAGTTTATTCGGGAATTACGCTTAAGATTAATTAAATTAACAACAAAATTACAGTACAGACGTACGACTAGATTAAATGTAAATGTACCCTTAGTTTACAGTTACAGATTAGCACCACCCACAAAGTTCTCTTTGGTCACAACTGCACATTCCCCATCTCACTCGAATGTCGCGATAGGGAGTCCACATCACGCTCCGCCCCTTCTTCCTCCGCCCCTTTCTCCCCTTCGTGCAGCTCCCGCACATTCCCGGGCAGATAATCCTTCCAACTCCTGAACAAATACCGGGTGAACTTCCTCAGCTGTCTGAACTTACAATAAGTCGCGCCTTCGGCCGACTCCAACTGCTGCGTCTGGATCAAAAACCCCTTCTCCTTGAACGTCTGTTCCAACTTCTCTCGCTGGAGCGACTTCCGCGACTTTCGCTTCTTGTGTCTCGAGTGCAACTCCGGGGTGGGTGGAATTTCCGGAGTCAGCAGAAAATCCTGGTTGGGTTTCGACCCAGTGAAGTCCACGGGTGCCACTGGGTAAATCTTCTCCCCGCTTGCTTGCAGGAACGCCCCCGTACTACTCCCTTGACTGTTATTAACCTGCTGCTGCAGCGTCTCCCTCGGGAAAAACTCGTACCCTCTCATACTTTTATCGCCCGTGCCGCTGTAGTACCGAAAATTCCCCCCCGAATCCACCGACAGCATCTTCTTCTCCTGCAAACTCGGCTTCGCACCCCCCGTGAATTTAAACTTACAAATACTGACTTCCGTGGCAGGGTTGGTGTTATTCTCAGTGGGAATAGGAGGAATGAAGATCGCGGAACGCTTGCGCTTCGTCGGGGTCTTGTCCGACGACGAAGACGCGTTCCGTTTTGTCTTTTGCTCAGGCTGCGAGTGCTCAGTCTCTTCGCTCTGCTCAGGCTTCTTTCGTGTCTTGGGGACGATCTTCCTGAGCTCTTGCGACTCGGGTTCTGGGGGCGGCGGACGCGGGCTGTGACTCGGCAAGGTGTAACTATTGTTAGCCGCCATCCTTTGGTAGTACATGAGGTGCTGCTGCAAAGCCATGGGGTGGATGAACACTCCGGCGTTAGGCCAGTACACGTAGCCCCCAGGAGCCTCCGGAGTAGGACTCGGGGTGCTTAAAGAGTCCGAAAATCGGGCTTCGGCTTTAGCCGGCGATGGCGTCTCGTGCACGAACTCCACATCATCGTCACTAGGCGGCTCCGACTTAATCTCCGAAGTGTACGTGTTATCATTTTTCTTCAGCAAGCGAATCTTGAGGTGGTTGAGATCGCGGATACACAAATTAAGAGGCTCGTTTTGGTCGTGCTCTGTCTTTTTGCTCTCTTGAGTCAGTCTTTTCTCCAGAAGGCTGCTGATAATACGATTCTGGACATCACTCTTCCCGGAATCCTCCTTCGAGTCGCTCGATTTCTTCTCCTTCTCGATGTAGCTCTTCGGATTGGGCGTGCCCGGAAAAATCGTACCATAGTTCTTGTAAATCAAGTGACAAATATCGGCTTTTTTGGGCTTGCGGCCTCTGCGCGGCTTAGAGTTGTCGAGAGTCATCTCCCCCATGTAGGGGAGGTCTTGGAATTTAACCACTCGGTTGGGAGTGGGTTGGGTGGGGGGTTTAACCGGGAACGACGCCACGGGAGGGTCAAGGGCGAGCTTCTTCTGCAGATCCGTGATTCTTTGCAGCCAGTTCTTGATGGATTCGTTGGGGTTTTGCTCAGGGATGGTGGGGATGATGGGTGGGCCTTCGAAGTCCTCTTCGTTGGTTTCGGACGAGCCAGGGGAGGACACTTCCACTTTCTCGATGTCATCGTCGAGGTTGATGCCTTCGAATTTGGTCACCTGAAACCTGGGGGTGGTTTAGTAAGGGTTGAGTGCGGGTGGGGGGCTCACTTTTCGTCTGATGGTTGGGCTGAGGGCTTCGGCGAAGGCGAATCTCGGCTGTCGCTGAAGGTCATTTCCGCTGGGTTTTCCGACTGGGCCTCTACTTCTTCGCATTGCATCGTAACCCCCTCTGCAATGAAGAAGCAATGTTAATAGGAAATTTACACGGTATTAGTCATCGACGAAACAACTATGGAAGTTAAATTTCGAAAATGAAAAATGAGAAATGATAGGTGATTCCGAAAAAACGACAAGAAAATTATTTAGTTAAATTTCGATAAACATCAAAAATGGGTCGAAATTCGCATGGTCGAAATTTTCATTTTTGAAAAAGTTGTCTCAAAATTCCCAAAAAATTCAGGAGGGTAGATCTCGACGTGCTAATTCCAAAAATATAACGTGTTTATGGTCATTTTGAAAAATTCAGTACGAAATTCGAATAATTATTAATGTAAATTAGTGTAAATATGCCATTTTTTGTCCAATAAAATGAGTGATTTTTTTTAAATGCGACTGGACCACTTAAACTTGTAAAATTTTCGTCTCATTAAAATGTAACAAGCCTATGAAATTCAAAAACGGAGCTGGGTGGAGTTAATTTTACCTTTTTGTCTAGATTTCACTAGATATCAATAGAAACCACACTTTTTGTCCAATAAAATTAGTGACCCGATATAAAACCGGGTGGGTGGGCGGGGCACTTTGATATTTTTATAAGCATAGATTGGGCCACTAGACAACTTTCGAAAGTTTTTTTAATTAGTTTCGACCAATTGCCAAAATAGATTTCAACTTTCGTCTTCCAATAAATAAAATAAGCCAATGAAATGCAGACGCAGGTAGGTGGGATTAATTTTACCTTTTAGTCTATTTTGCTATTGTTTGTCAATATAAATTCCACTTTTCGTCCCACAGCCAATAAAATTTTGATTTAATTTAAAAATTAATTTTGAAATCTTGCAGATGTTTTCAATTTATGGTAAGTGTAATAATTTTTTAATGAAAATATGTTCGCTTATCCCCTCCAAAAAATTGATGACGTCATCCAAAAATTTTGCCGGATAACTATTAGCTAAAATATGCAATATAATGATCAGTCTATACTTATGATTTATCACTGCATTCAAATTTTTTAGATTTGCTTAAACAGGGTGATTCAAAAAAATTAATGACTGAATTGTTAAAAAATAAACATCCAATCAGATTCAGGAATTTAACTCGTTACTATGGAAACTTGCAATTTAACACCTCTTAAATTTAACGAGTTTTTACAAGTTTAATACGGGCAAAATCAGTCTTATCTTAGCAAGTGCTAGCCCCGCCCACCCTCCCCCCATTTTCTCAGAGGATGTGTCATTTGCCAAAATCAGTCTTATCTTACCAAGGTACTAGCCCCGCCCACCCGCCCTCTATTTTCTCAGAGGATGTCATTTGCCAAAATAAGAATTATCCTAGTAAGTACTATCTTAGAAAATAAAGGACGGGTGGGTGGGGCTAGTACTTGATAATATATGTCTTATTTTGCCAAAGGACATATCCTTTGAGAAATTAGAGGGCGGGTGGGCAGGGCTAGTACTATAAGACTGATTTTAGCAAATGACATATCTTCTGAGAAAACAGGGGGCGGGTGGGCGGGCCTAGTACTTGGTAAGATAAGACTGATTTTGGCAAATGACATATCTTCTGAGATAACCGGGGGCGGGTGGGCGGGGCTAGCTCTTGGTGAGATAAGACTGATTTTGGCAAATGACATGCTGTCTAAGAAAACAGAGGGTGGGTGGGCGGGCCTAGTACTTTTTCAGATAAAACTGAATTTGCCCCTATTAATTTTGTAAAAACTTGTGAAATTTAAAAGTGTTAAATTGCAAATTTCCATAGTAACGTGTTAAATTCCTAAATCTACCCGAAATGTGTAAAACATCATGAGTTTTTACTTGTGATGTATCATTGTATTCAATTTTTGAATTTTTTTAAGCGTAGATTGGACCACTTGACAAACTAAAATAAAATTTTCATCCCAGAGCAAATAAAATAAGCCCAAGAGACAAAGCCGAAAATGATTTCTGGGACCGAAGTCTACAAGAAAATATTTTCAACTAATTTTCGGAAATATGTAGTTGAAAAATGGTTGAAAATGTCAAAAGTGGCAAAATCAGTCTTATTTTCTCAGAGGGCATGTCATTTGCCAAAATCAGTCTTATCTTATCAAATACTAACCCCGCCCACCCACCCTCTATTTTTTTAGGGGGTATGTCATGTGCCAAAATCAGTCTTATCTTAGCAAGTACTAACCCCGCCCACCCCCACTCTTCTCATTCTAACAACTAATTTTATTTCTTCTCAGTATAAAGATCATTCATTTTATTTGGATCAATCACTGATAAGGAGGCCGGGTGGGTGGGCGGGGCTAATTATGTTCTTCTGTCGAGTAGGAGTGAAAACTAATAATACAATCTAGGATGTGAAAAAGCAAAAAAGCTCTAATCGTAACTTTTTTTGTTATACTATTTGGTATAAAATTTACTGCTTATTTTACCTTTTTGTCTACATTCCACTCTGTATCAATGTAAATGCCACTTTTTGTCCAATAAAATGAGTGATTAGAACGAAAACCGGGTGTGTGGGCGGGGCCGCTTTGAATTTTTAAGCATAGATTGGGGCACAAGGCAACCTTTGAAGTTTTTTTAATTAGATTCGACCATTTGCCAATTAGAATTCAACTTTCATCTTCCAATAAATAAAATAAGCCAATGAAATGCAGACGCAGGTGGGTGGGATTAATTTTACCTTTGAGTCTAATTTACTATACTTTGTCAATATAAAATCCACTTTTCGTCTCACAGCCAATAAAATGAGTGACTAATTTCATTGGTTAATTAAAGACGAATCTCATCTCGGCAAACATGACATTCTAGAACAGGTCACCGTGAAATTTTAATTTTTGATTTTGCATTTTATGGAATTTACAGAAAATTCTAAGAACTTGAAAAATATAATTAAAAATTCACCGAAAACGTCCAGATTTAAGCAAAAAGACTTTCAAAAGAGAAATAAAAACCTAATAAAAGTTATAGATTCAGGGGCTGTGTTATGTGCCAAAATCAGTCTTATCTTATCAACTATTAGCCCCGCCCACCCACCCTCTATTTTGTTAGAGGGTATGTTATTTGCCAAAATCAGTCTTATCTTATCAAATACTAGCCTGCCCCCCCACCCGCCCTCTATTTTCTTAGCGGCTATGTAATGTGCCAAAATTAGTCTTATCTTATCAACTACTAATTAAAAAACACGAAAAAACGAAGAATTGTGATATCAAAAAATTGTAAAAACGAAGAAGGAAAAACAAATATTCTATTCTTGGAGGGTATGTCACTTGCCAAAATCAGTCTTATCTTAGCAAATAGTAACCCCGCCCACCCACCCTCTATTTTCTTAGAAGATTTATCATTTGCCAAAATCAGTCTTATCTTAGCAAATACTAGCCCGTTATTTTCTTAGAGGGTATGTCATTTGCCAAAATCAGTCTTATCTTATCTAATGCTAGCCCGCCCCCCCACCCGCCCTCTATTTTCTTAGCGACTATGTGATGTGCCAAAATCAGTCTTATCTTATCAAAAACGGAAGTGGGTGGAGTTAGTTTTATCTTTTTCTCTAGATTCCATTAGTTACACAAAATATAGAAATACACTTGTTGTCCAATAAAATTGATCAGAAAGAAAACCGGGTGGGTGGGCGGGGCCGCTTTAAATTTTTTTAAAAGTAGATTATACCTATTGACAAAATAAAATTCAATCTTCATCTAATAAAAAAAAACAATGAAATTCAAAAGCAGAGGTGGCTGGGGTTAGTTTTACCTTTTTGTCTACATTCACTGTGTATCAATGTAAATACCACTTTTTGTCCAATAAAATGACTGATTAGAACGAAAACCGGGTGGGTGGGCGGAGCCACTTTGAATTTTTATAGGCATAGATTGGGCCACTAAACAACCTTTCAAGTTTTTTTAATTCGATTCGACCATTTGCCAATTAGAATTCAACTTTCATCTCCCAATAAATAAAATAAGCCAATGGAATGCAGACGCAGGTGGGTGGGATTAATTTTACCTTTTAGTCTATTTTACTATTGTTTGTCAATATAAAATCCACTTTTCGTCTCATAGCCAATAAAATGAGTGATTAATTTCATTGGTTCTTAATTAAAGACGAATCTCATCTCGGCAAACATGACATTCTAGACAGGCAACCCTGAAATTTTAATTTTTGATTTTTGCATTTTATGGAATTTACAGAAAATTTTAATATTCTAAGAACTTGAAAAATATAGTTAAAAATCCACCGAAAACGTCCAGATTTAAGCAAAAAGACTTTCAAAAGAGAAATAAATACCTAATAGAAGTTATAGGTTTTACCTCCATCCTTATTTTTGTATTAATAATAATAATAATAATAAATTCAGAATACTTGACCTGACTTGACCTAACGTGACCTGAGTTGTCCTGTTTTTTTTATCTACAAAATTTTTATACCGAGCTATTTTCACGAAACTGTATAACCTGCTATATTTCAATTAGTAGCTATTTTGGAAAAACGGTAGGAATTTTCAAAGAAACAGCCGAAAATGACTTCTGGATCTCGAAATCTACAAGAAAATGTTTTCAACTAATTTTCGGAAATAGTTGAAAAATGGTCGAAAGTGTCAAAAATGTCAAAATCAGTCTTATCTTATCAAATACTAGCCCCGCCCACCCACCCGCCCTCTATTTTCTGATGGACTATGTGATATGCCAAAATCAGTTTTATCTTATCAAATACTAGTTTTACTAAAATCGTAAAACTGTAACATGGGAAAATTGAGAAATGGAAAAATGAAAAAATACAGAATTCGAGAATTTGGAGAAACGAAAAATTGAAAATCGAGGAATTAAAAAACCGAAAAAGTGAAGAATAAAATACCGAAAAATCTCAATGCTGGAAACATCGAAAAATTGAGAAACCGAAACTTGAAAAATCTAAAATTTGAAAATCGAAAAACCTGCAAAAACGAATAATTGAAAAACTGAAAAATTCAAAAATCGAGAAATTGAAAAGGTGAAAAATCGAGGTCGAAAAATCGAAAAATCAAAAACCTTAAAAATGAAAAAATTGAAAAACTAAAAATTGCGGAATTGAGAAGTTGAGAAATCAACTAATGGAAAATTTAGTAACGTCAAAAATTGAAAAATCGGAAAACTGAAAAATTGTAAAACTCAAACATTGGAAAATTGAGAAATCGAAAAATGAAAAGACATAGAAATCGAAAATTTGGAGAATCGAAAAATTGATAACTGAAAAATTGAAAACGAAAAATTCAAGAATAAAAATCTGAAAAATCTCAATTCTGGACATATCGAAAAATTGAGAAGCCAAAAGTTGAAAAATCGAAAATTTGAAAATCGCAAAACTTGAAAAGTCATGTCATCTGCCAAAATCAGTCTTATCTTACCAAGTACTAGCCCCACCCACCCACCCATTTTTTCTCAGAGGATGTCATTTACCAAAACAATACATGTTATAAGTACTAGCCTCGCCCTTTATTTCCTCAGAGGGTAGTACTTGCCAGTACTTGCTAAGATAAGTCTTATTTTGGCAAATAACATATCCTCTGAGAAAACAGGGGCGGGTGGGCGGGGCTAGTGCTTGCTCAGATAAGACTGATTTTGGCAAATCACATATCCTCTGAGAAAATAGAGGGCGGGTGGGCGGGGCTAGAACTTGTTAAGATAAGGCTGATTTTGGCAAATGCCCTCTGAGAAAATAGAGAGGAGGTAAAAAAAGTTAAATATAGATTATTCTACTCAGTTTTAAATTTTTTCTAAAAATTCTGAATGTCTAGGGTGAAAATTCGACACGAATTCACACACCACAAGTACAACAGTATCTTATTTATCTTAGCAAGTACTAGCCCTTCCACCCACCCTTTACTTTCTTAGAGGGTATGTCTTTTTCCAAAATCAGTCTTTTCTCATCAAGTACTGGCCCCACCCACCCACCCTCTCTTTTTTTAGAAGATATGTGATTTGCCAAAATCAGTCTTATCTTAACAAGTGCTAGCCCCGCCCACCCGCCCTCTCTTTTCTCAGAGGATATGTGATGTGCCAAAATCAGTCTTATCTTATCAAATACTACTTGAAAAATATAATTAAACTGATTATAATTTCACCGAAAACGTCCAGATTTAAGCCAAAAAAAGAGAAATAAATAAAAGTTATAAATTCAGAATATTTAAACTTAGGGTCAACACAATAAAACAAAAATTCAAAATTTTGGAGAAAAGTCGTTTTGAATAAGAAATTAAAATCCTGAGATCAGATCAGTTTTGGTAAAAAATAAGAACCAAATACATAAAACGGAAAATATCAAGTCAGGTCTGGCTAATTCCAAATATATAGCGTGTTTTTGATCAACAAATATTTTCGTTTTTTATTTGTGTTTTTTTTGTTAGGTTGACAACATATTTAAAATTTTATGATGCCATACCCAATGTCATATTCAAATTTTGGTTCTTAGGCGCGCTCCTGTCAAAATTGACAACTATGAACTGACATGGTAACATTGCTGCCAACCAAAAATTTTCTTCAATCATTAATAGTCACCCTCAACCGACATTTACAAGGTGATTTTAACGCAGTTTTTCTATTTTCGACTTTCTGGTATTTTTAAGTTATAATTAAACTGTTTGGATTGACAATTAAATTACATAATTACTACCAATTAGTGTCTGGCAGTCCTCGAATAGTGAATAACAACACTGACAAATTTCGTAATAATAATAATAAAAAAAACAAACTAGATTTAGTTGTGGTTTTACAAGTGCAATTGGCAATCTTGTTTAATAAAATCACGTCGTCGGCACATTTTGACACTTAAATATGTTGTCACGTTGTTATCAAAACACGTTTGTGTAATTAAATTTACCGCCAAAACATAGCGACGCTGTAATTTGACATTTATAGCCCAGACATGCCACATTTTTTGACCATACTGTAACTGTATTTTTAGTTCATAACACAATTCATGTTACGGATGCATAACGAAATGACATACGATTACGCAACATAACCTAACATAAATATCATTCCCCCACTTCGTAACTTTGTTCAAAAAACCCAAGAAACAACAATATAATAATAACATTTGCATTATTTAATACTAAGTTGCATTCAGCCGGAACGAAATTAGTGTTTCAATGCCACAAATAAACAATCTTGTCGTGTGAACCAATTCGCGACACGAGTCTTGTTTTTCGCCGCTTTCTAATCATACGACATAAAAAAAATTGAAAACTTTTCAAGAAACAAAATTAGAACACGTAAGACCTTCAAATCCTCGAAATAAAAAAGCTCATTTTAAATCCGACGCTTACACCAAGTGCCACCAAATTCCCTATTTATTTGTCAGTCTGACGTAACGGCAACTCTTTCTGGAACGCAAACTGGAAGGACCCGAGTTTCCAACCTCGTGCGTAAAATGCGGCTTTATGAATTAGGGCGAACGGTTACCTGGGATGGCGCACGTACGTGTAACATAATAGCCGTCGGAAAAGCTCGCGGTTACATAAAGCCGTGTTTTCGCGAAAGTAGCCATCGTTATCACGATTAGCAGCAACGGTCCCGGAAGGGCGGCCTGCGGCGCTGCGACGCCGCGGTCCGGAAGCGTCCATTTCCGCACTGCACTACTTACTCTGATTCATCCTGCTGCACTTGCACCGATCAGTCCGTCATCCCGCGATCCACCGCACACGCAAAATTTTTCGCGGAGCTCCGCTCTGTTATTATTTATTGTGAGGATTTGAGCGTTGACGGCGCGCGAAGACGCTTGTCCGTAGAAGGCGCGCGGCGTCGGCTATTTTCGGCGTCCGGACGCCCTCTCTCCTCTTAGGTATATTCTGAATTTGGCCGTCGTGTAATACGAGATTGAACCATATTTGGTACTCCGCGTTCCCGGAGTTATTATTAACCCGTTCTTATGTTCCTCCGCTCATTTCCGCCGCTTTTCGGGATTAGCGTTTTTTCTCGGGTTTGTTGTCAATTAGACTTCATCGGTATTTTTAAACGGGGCGCTAAAAATACGCGCTCGCGGCGAACAACCCCGCCGGAGGCCCTATTGCTCAACCCTTAGGTAATCGGGTCGGCGAGGAGCGTCGGTTCGGCGTTGCGTCACACTGTTTGTTTATTAATTGGCGGGATGAATCAACGCGCTGAATGAGTGCGGACTTGCCTGAATTCCGTCGGTTGTATCCATGGCACTAATTAGTGTATCACCTCATGTCCACTCACTTTTTCCACGAAAAACTCACACGCGACGCGCGAACTTTCGAAAGCGGGTTCGGCCTGGAAGGAAGAGGCGGATGCCGAGGGGTTTGGCGAAAATGTGCGAAATCGGACGCCGAAACTGGCCGCTCCGCAGAAAACGTCTCCTTTCTGTTGCAAGGCTCAATTTACTGCATTAATCACGTAAATACTTTGAGAATGTGTAGGTTTTCATTCAGGGCGGGCGAGCGGCACAGGGGAACTGCGCCAGGTTGAGCGAGATGGCGGAAAGCCAATAGAAAGCGTGCAGCGGCCCACGTGATAGTGCGGGTTTTTCTAGATTTTTTAATGGAGTTGTCGGGTTGGAATGACATGGTTTGGGACAGATTACATTTTATTGAAATTATAACGACATTGAAAACTACGCAGCGATTAAGTTAATCGATTCATAATTTATCCAAAATTCGCAAACGTAAATTTTTTATTGCTGGCTAAAGTGAGGGCTGTATGGAATTAAATCAGGTCAAGTCACGTCAAATTATGTCAGGTCAAGTCAGTCCAAGTCAAATATTTTTTAATTCTTCAAGTTATTTACAACTTACTACTTTTTAAGTAATATGAAGCAAATTTACAATTATTTCATTATTAAACAGCAAAAAGAGTTCTCTGTCTTCATTTTCGAAATTTAGAAACCATGCTTCCAAATTTTGAAAGCAGTTTTTTACGAAAACCTTTTTGACCTTTTTGACCTGTCCTGTTCTGTTTTTTTTATCTACAAAATTTTTATACCGAGCTATTTTCACGAAACTGTAAAAATTGCTATATATTTCAATTAGTAGCGATATTGGAAAAACGGTAGGAATTTTCGAAGAAACAAAGCCGAAAATGACTTCTGGATATCGAAATTTACAAGAAAATGTCTTCAACTAATATTAGGAATTTTAAATCCAGAAGTTCTTGAAAAAGTGAATACCAAAAAATTGTAACATTGTAAAGTTAAAAATTGAAAAATCCAAAGATTTGAATTGAAAACTGCAAAATTGTAAAACAACAAATTTTCATAAAACTGGAATTTTGATTTCGAATTCCCCAGATTTTGCTCGATTTTGATTTTTCATTTTTAAATTTTTCTGTTTTTCGATTAAAATGTTTGATTCAATTTTCGAATTTTTCAATTTCCCGCTTCTTAAATTTTAAAATATTTCAATGTTGCTGTTTTACAATTTTTCTTTATTTCAATTTTGGATTTTTCAATAATTTTCCGTTTCCGATTTCTCAATTATTTGATTTTTAAAAATATCGAGAAAATAGAGTTCTAATTTTCAATGTTTAACCTTTTTGAATTTTTAGATTTTTCGATTTTTTTTTTAATTTTGGTTCGAATAATTTTTTTTTTTTGTTAAAAAGTCGAGAAAATGACAAATCGTGGAAAATTTCAAATCGAGAACTTGAAAAATTAAAAATCAAAAAATTGCAAAATTGAAAAATCAAAAAATTGGAATTAAAAACTGCAAAATTGTCAAACAAATTATCAAATGAAATATTCAAAAGTTGAAAGATCTAAAAACTAAAAAACATGAAAACTGGAATTTCGAATTCGCTTTTATAAGATTTGTTTTTTTTTTTCAATTTTTCGATATTTCAATTTTATTTTTCCGATTATACAGTTCTACAATTTTCCGATTTCTCCATTTAAATTTTTTTATTTTTAATTTTTTTCATTTTTAGCAAGTACCCACCCGGCCTTTATTTTCTTAGAGCAATAAGTCATCTGCCAAAATCAATCTTATCTAACAAGTACTAGCCCCGCCCACCCACCCTTATTTTCTTAGAGCATATGTAATTTGCCAAAATCAGTCTCATCTTAACAAGTATTGGCCCCACCCACCCACCCTCTCTTTTCTTAGGGGATATATCATCTGCCAAAATCAATCTTATCTTACCAACTACTAGCCCCACCCACCCACCCTCTCTTTTCTCAGAGAATATGTCATCTACCAAAATCAGTCTTATCTTAGCAAGTACTAGCCCCACCCACCCACCCTCTCTTTTCTTAGCGGATATGTCATTTGGCAAAATCAGTCTTATCTTACCAAGTAATTGCCCCACCCACCCACCCTTTACTTTCTTAGAGGGCATGTCATTTGCCAAAGTCATTCTTATCTCATCAAGTACTAGCCCCACCCACCCACCCACCCTCTCTTTTCTTAGAGGATATGTCATTTGCCAAAATCAGTCTTATCTTACCAAGTACTAGCCTCGCCCACCCGCCCCCTATTTTCTCAGAGAATATGTCATTTGCCAAAACAAGACTTATGTTAGTACTAGAACCTAATTTTTAACAGGTAAGAAAAAAGAGCACGAGTCGTATTTTTTTTCTATACTAATTGCAATGATATTTATTTCATATTTCAGAAGCAAAAAATGTAAAGACGGGAGGGTGGGCGGGGCTAAGTTTAACTTTGTCCTACATAAGCGAGGAGTACCCCCGCCCGCCCACCCTCTTTTCTTAGAGAGTATGTGGTTTACCAAAATCAATTTTACCCAGCGAAAACTAAGCCCCGCCCACCCACCCTTGAATTTCTTACAGGCTATGTGATTTGCCAAAATCAGTCTTATTTTAACAAGTATTAGCCCCACCCACCCGCCCTCTATTTTCTCCGAGTATATGCCATTTGCCAAAATTAGTCTTATCTTAGCAAGTACTAGCCCCGCCCACCCGGGCTGTTCTCATTATAACGATTTTATTTCTGTTCAGACCAAATAAAATGAATTGGAGGCGGGGAGGGTGGGCGGGGTTAAATATATGTTTTTCTGTAGAATGGGAATGGAAACTAATAGAACCTAGTTTTTAACAGGAAAGAAAAAAAGAGCACGAAGTGTAATTTTTTTTGTTATACTAATTGCTATGAGATTTATTTTTTATTTCAGAAGCAAAACATGTGAGGACGGGTGGGTGGGCGGGGCTAAGTTTAGCTTTGTCCTACATAAGAAAGTACTAGTACCGCCCACCCACCCTCTTTTCATTCTGGTGACTACTCTTAATACTGTTAATTAATGGCAATATTATTATTTTATTAGAAACTTAGGCAAATCCGATAAACCATTGGTAAGAAAATAGATAAAGTGGTGAACAAAATATTCAGAAATTATTAAATTATAATTATAAAATAACAAACTGAGTGATTAAAGTTGAATAAGAGTGAGTAAGCTTGTCAAAATTGAATTCAATTTCCATTTTACTGTAAATAAAATAATAAACGGGGTGGGTGGGCGGGGCCACTTTGAAATTTGTTTCAATCGTACATTGAAATAAATTATTATAATTATTTAGTATTTTTAGTGGTTTTGGATGTAGGTGCAGAGGCGAAAAAGTTATATAATGTTCACAGAATGTATCACAGCCATATATCATACCTACAGCCCGTTATACAGGGTTTCTATAAATGATTATAGGGTCGAACTAGGTCATGAAATCGTGCCGCCTCTCAGTTTTCGACTTTACTAAATGCTCACAGACGCACGACAAATAGCACACGCTTCTGTATAACTGGTTGCCTAAACGCTTCATATCGTATTAAAAAATAAAACTAATTTATTGCGGTTAAACATCACAGTAAATGTTATAATGAGCCATAATTTCAGTGAAGCGAAAATGATTTTTTTTGTCATGTTGGCAACCTGTATAAAATTTTATGTTGGCATGCCCGATTGTCAAAGTGACAGCTGCACCTGGTGCTAAATGAACACCAAACAAAAATGTCAAAATTTATTAAAAAAAAAACTCAAAAATTCTTAAAATTTCAATGGAAACTAGACTTTTTTCCACTCGATTAATAGTGATTTTTTTTGTTAAATGTTGGCAATTCTTGAATAAACGGATCGATTGTTAAGATCTTACTGAAAAACTACAAGATATTACCCAGGTACGCAATCAAATTTAGGTTGGTTACAATAAATCATATGATCTAATTTTCCCACATTTTAAATTTGGTTCTTAATTTAAAAGATTCATTGTTGCCAACTTCAATTTGAGCACTGACAAAAATTACCCTATTTTTCATTTCATTGTTACCACTGAGTCAACTGAGACAGTTTTCTTTAAAAACAACAAAAAATGTGTTTTAATTTTTGCAAAATGATTAATAAACATTTTTGAAACTAATTTTACAAGCATTTGAATCAGTGTTGGCAATAGCAGCACAAAAAATGTTCTCAGAATTGATCACCTAATTCTGCCATTTCATCATAAATATTATACCTATACAAATATCAGAAAAAAGTTTTGTTGTTGTTTTTGTTTGATTCACTGTTTTGCAATTAAGTCCGCCCCCTTGGCTCACGACGAATAAAAAAAGTCATCACAATTGAGACAGGGTGGGTGGGCGGGGCTTATATTTTGCCTTTTTTCTTAGTGCGTTTAGTCATCTTTTCACAACAAGAAACTTAAAACATGTTTAAAATGGTAAATTTGTATAGGGAAATATATATTGTGCAGTTACTCCTCGATCTAACAACGAATAAAAAAATTATTCGAATTGAGATAGGGTGGGTGGGCGGAGCTTATAGTTTGCCTTTGTTTTTTCTTAATATACATAGCCATCTTTTCACAACAAGAAACTTAGAACATGCTTAAAATGGTTAATTTGTATAGGGAAATATAGATAAGTCATCAGAATTGAAATAGGGTGGGTGGGCGGAGCTTATAGTTTGCCTTTGTTTTTTCTTAATATGCATAGGCATCTTTTCACAACAAAAAACTTAAAATATGGTTAAAATGGTAAATTTGTATAGGAAAATATAGATTGTGCAGTTACCCCTCGGTCTGACAACGAATAAAAAAAAATCATCAGAATTGAGATAGGGTGGGTGGGCGGGGCTTATAGTTTGCCTTTGTTTTTTCTTAATATACATAGCCATTTTTTCACAACAAGAAACTTAGAACATGGTTAAAATGGTAAATTTGTATAGGGAAATATAGATTGTGCAGTTACCCCTCGGTCTGACAACGAATAAAAAACATCATCAGAATTGAGATGGGGTGGATGGGCGGGGCTTATAGTTTGCCTTTGTTTTTTCTTAATATATATATAGCCATCTTTTCACAACAAGAAACTTAGAACATGCTTAAAATGATACATTTTTGCAAGGAAGTACGGACTTCGCAATTATGGAGCGGAACCTAATTGCAAAATCTAT